AGCAGTTATATTTCTTAAACCTCTTTAATTCGATACACACATTGTAATCATTTATTTATGCTAGCAATATAATTGGGTTTAAAAATTTTCAAATAGGTGGCAACCCTCAAATTTTTTGCGATATCATTGGTCCTGGTATTATACCGAACAATACAAAAAAAAAATTATTCAAATCGGTTCAGCCGTCCTCGAGTTTTGACGACCGTGACATACGAACACAACATTTTTATTAATACTAGAGTGCCAGTTACTGTCGAAATTCGACAGTTTTTCTAGTTTTAGAAGCCTTGGAGAGGTTTTCTAACTTAACACGTAGTAAAACTTATACGGTACAAATTAACCAGCCGGAAAATCTTCTGCTTTGGAACTAAAACGTAACTAAAATTTTTTTATCTGTGAAGGTCTTTGCAGGACTTCGGCAAGACTTGGAATTGACCCGATACATTCAAGTTTGTCGATAAATTTCAATGATTTGATACATATCGATAGTTCGATGAACTTCAAGAACACTAAAATCCGATAGTTCAACAAAATTCGTTAACTCGACAAATTTCGATAACTGTGAAGTTCGAGGGCTCTATAAATTTCGATAACTCAAAAATGTAAATTCTTTGTATACCTTTATAAATTTTTACTTTTGACTGCTCCACATTTTTCGAAAACTATCTAAGCATTTTGATAACTCGTTACACTCTGTTAACACTATAAAATTCGATAAGCAGTGATAAATCGATAAGCTTATATAACCTTAAAATTTCGATAAATCGATATACTTTGAAAATTCCATAAACTTCAATTCGATGAATCAACCAATTTCAATAATTATCGATAACTCTGCAAGTTGAAAGAACTTCATGCATCACGGCATAAATTTCGTTAAGTCTATAAATAATTATAATTCAATAAATATCAATAACTTGATACATTTCTTTAACTGGACAAATTTCGATAATCCCACACGTTTTTATAGCTCGATAACGATCCGTAAATTTCGACAACTAAGTTTCTGTGCCTATAAATTTCGACAACTCAATAAACATTGATCAGTTTGAATAATTCGATACGTTGCGATAACTCAATAAGCATACATAAATTTCGATAATTATAAAGTTCGATGATTCGATAAATTTCGGTAACTTTTATGGCTGATTTTATTTCGATTCCTATCGGAAAATTTCACTTCAGTTATCCTAATTCTTATGTATGTCTCATTGTCTCCATTTTCCCCTTTATCTCCATTTTCGTCTTTATCTTCACGTTTTCCTTCTTTTTACAACGCTTTTATCAACTTGCAATGTTGTGTTCCAGAAACTTTCAATGTTGTGTGTCCGACACCATAAAGCAAAGCTTTGAAAAGCTCCTATAAAAAAGCATAGTAAATAGGGCGAGGTAGATGACATCTAGATGTCGCCCTATGTACTACGTTTGCTACACCGGAAATAGACGACACGCCATTTCTTTAAATAAAATTAATTGGTGCTCGTTTGTATGTACATACATATGTAAATGCATGTGTGTGCACCTTTCTATTAATATCGTTGAATTATTTTAATATCTATTGCAAAATTTTATTCAGACAGGACTAAAAAGTAGAAAATAAATAATATAAAAAAAACTTTTTAATATACAACGCTTTTATAAATGGACTAAAAAGTAGAAAATAATACTTCTCAGTCCCATAGAATTTGTTTTGCTAACTTTTGATTTTGAAATTTTAGCAAAAGTTATTATAAACAATCTATGAAATTGAAAATGAAAAGCGTGGGGCGCATGTAATACACTTGAATTGATATGAAAAGTAATATATGTATGTATGTATGTGGGTATATGAATAACGACCGCTTAAAATCGATTTCAAAGTTCTACTTTCGCTGTAGAAATTTTAGGTCTACGTTATGTAGTTTGACTATTGTCAACTAAATCGAATGCTTTGTAAGGGAAGTGACTTGTGGACCACTTGAGGTATAGGTGGACCAGTTGGTAACCACTTTGGGACCAGTTGGTAACTAGTTCGTGGGACCAGTTGGTAACCAGTCGGGGGCCAGTCTGGGAACCAGTTGGGAAGCAGTTTGGGACTAGTCCGCAACTACTTACCTTCAGACCAGTTGGGGACAAGTTGGTCTTTTTAAGCTCCTGTGGCCGTTTTATGGGTAATTCTTGGGCTCCTGCACTGCCGCTCGGGGTTTCTGCCTTCTACGGTGGTAATTTTGGGCCGGGTTGCCTGTTTTGGCGGATTGTTGTGCTGAGTGCCGCGTATTACGTGTAC